TTAAAATCAAGTAAAAGATGTTTTGTAATATACCAAAAAAAACATCCATATATTTTACTCTTTCAATATACTAGTATTTAGCACATACATAATATTTTAAATATATTTGATCATACTTTAAAATTAACAATGAGTCAAAGACGAAGGAATTTTCAGTCTTCGAAACATCCATAAAGATGAACACCAACACTTTTACAATTCTCTGAAACATCTATCGATGGAAAGGAGGAGAGAGAAGCAAAGACACATGATTATTACCGATCTAAAAATTGATGGATCGATTCTCTAATTTGTAATTATTGAATTAAGAAAAACTTTAAAATATATCATAATATAAATCTTATATATTACTTTAACTATATTTATTTTCACATGTTATTTAATTCGTATATATAATATATAAATATATGTACCTCACGCATTTAGAAATATTTATTTTACTACTTTCTCATTTTTCTTATCTCCATTTTAGTTATTGTAATTTAAATTTAAAGATTATTTAAAAGTTTGAATCTAAACAGATTCATCAATTATTCTCTATTTTTATCCACATTTCTATAGATATATTTATTTTATACACATATTCTATTTTTATCCACATTTCTATAGATATATTTATTTTATACACATATTAATTATTTATATGTATATATAAGTATATGCACCTTCTAAAATCCGGAATTCCAATCACACATATTTAAAAATGACAAGAGATTCCAATAATCAAACTAAAAAAATGCATAATCTTACTCCTTTCTTATCCTCAGCTTTAGTTATTGTAATTCAAATTTAAAAATGGCTTGAAAGTTTGAATTTAAACAATAATTAAAAGTGAAATAATCTTCTACAAAATGCATCAAATTTCCTTCTTTTTTTTTGGGGGAAAAACTATTAATTACATTGAAAAGTAGTTCCAATGATCAAGCTCTTTCTTTTAAAACATTTTAAAAATTTGAATGAATATATATATATGAAGATATCACGAGTAATATGATTTTGAGGTATATCAATAATACATCAGAGATTAAATAGTATGTCTTTGAAGTATATCAATAATATATTAGACACTAAATGATATGACTATAAGGTATATCTGTTATGGATCCAAAAATGGGATCTAACCAAGATCGATGAGTCGAAAGAGTCACGATCTTAAGCGGCATATGTTAAGCGATGCCAATTAGTTTTGAGATGGAACCCATGAATATTGACAATATCAAAATTGGTATGATTATGAGGTATATCAAAATGATAGAATAATTTAGAGTAACTTCAATATATACGTACATTTATTTATTTGTGTTATAGATGAGTCGGGCCTCAAAATTTTACTATTTTTAGCCGATGTGGTTGCTAATTTTGTAAATAAATAATTTTTTTGGCTAATTTTACAAGTGGTCAAAAAGTTAGTTCAACATTTTCAAACATAAATTCTAATATTTACAGTTAGTGACAAATTTTTCTAACATTCCAATTAAGCAGTAAAGAATATATATATATATATATATATTAAATTTTTAAAATCAACATTATGCCCTTCAAGATAACTTTAATTTCAAATCAACTATATAGAATGATGATCCATTAGGCCAATCACAATTGGACCAAATTAACCTAACATTTTTAGAAAACTGAGGCATTTGGCTTAATTGCTTACTCCTAACACACAACTTGACCAATGACTGATATTAAATCATTTTCAAAGACAAAGACTGCTACATTGGAAGCATTGATTCACCAAATACATTGAACACAAACAATTATACCTTTTTCCATTTTCCTTTTCCCTTTTCAATATTTTCCAACATCTTTCCATTATTCATAGACCCAGAAAAGAAATAGGAAAAATCAGAAAGTCTACAAAACAACAAAAAAAGTGTTTTTCCACGAAATTTTGATCCAATCATGAAAGCCTATTTCACATATAACTAATTTAAATTGTTTTTTTTCCCACATGTATTTATTAGAATATGTGCCATAAAATGGAAACTTGCAGATTGAATTTTATTAATCTTAAGATGTTCAGACAAGCAAAGGGAAAATTTTAAATGCTTGCTTCTGTGACGAGTCTTGTATCTATTATCATGTCGATGTATTAATAATTTAATCAATATAAATAGATTATGGATAAAAGGAAGCAAAAAGCTTTTATCTAAGTTGGGTTGCCAACTTATCATAATTTCGAATTAAAAAAATGAGGTTATCAAATCTCTACTCCCACAATTGTAATATTGTATTTTCAAAAAAGAAAAAAAAATACTATCTTTTAGACAACTTAATTGGACTGATTCATTGGTCTAAAAGGACTAAGGTAAATCAAAAGAATTTAGCCGGAAATTAGTTCAAATTCCACCTATATAGGAGTTAATTTTCTATGTGTTTTTTTCACAACCAAATTTAGCATGCTGGCGCAGTTGCTTTTATTTTTTAAAAATAGTTAAATAGTTTTCCCCTTGTTTAATATATTCTCATTTTTAAGGTGCAACAAAATTAAGAAAAAAAAAAGACAGAAATAAGAAACGGAAACGTATTATCAAACGTGCCATTCATGATCTCATTTTAGTTCTTATGTTGATTTGAACTAGGTAATTTCAAATTTGGTTTCTAATTCTTAAAATTTCATCATAATCCTAAGTTTAGTTAAATCTTTCCAACTTCTATATTGTTGCCAAATGTTTACACTTTTTTCCAATGTACGTGTAAGTTTAATATAAAAAGTATGCGTGAGACTGAAGAAAAGTAATTTATAATATAGATGAACTACATGTTTTTCTTAGGTATCTTCCTTTCTTTTTTTTTCATAGGTTCTTTTGGACTAATTTTTTATTCTTAGGTATCTTCCTTTCTTTTTTTTTCATAGGTTCTTTTGGACTAATTTTTTAATCAAGTGCTCGTTTGAGCTTTCCAGACTCTATACAATATTAATCTTCATGAAGTTTTATCTCAAAGTTAATTGACAATAGGAAGAGTAATCATGTAAACGTTATAAACTCATCTTAATAAGTCCCTCATCTTTTGAATTAATGTGTGTGATCATTAATTCACACATAAAAGGAGCGAGTTTCAAAAGTTGAGGTTTTTTTCAACGAAAATGTGTAACAAGACTCACTCCTTATTTGTACAAAGACTATTTTTTTCATGAGCTAAAAACTAAAAAACAATTCATAGAATTCTAAGGGTTTGTCCGATAACATTTTCGTCCTTTTTGTTTTTTGTTTTCTCATTTTCCAACTTTGGAACATAAGAGTTTGATAACTTTTTTATTTCTCATTTTTATTAAATATTTCCAAAATTGAGTAGAATTATTAGGAAAAAAAATATCAAGTTTCTTGTTTATGGTTCATGTTTTAAGTTTTCAGCTTGTCCCAAATACAGATATTATTTTTATTTATAAAATACATAATGTTTGAGCTCGAAATCGTTGAGCTCAGATTAGGTGTAGGTCAGAATGGACGGGATGATCTTCTCTGAACTGCCAGACGGCCTCCCACAGCACTCGGGGGGACCTGCAAAACAAAGTTAGCACTTCGACAAGCAACTTAGTTGCAGTTTGAACTAACTTGCCGATTCTATTAGGATTGCGTACCTTGCATTTAAGGCAAATGTTTTTATTTATAGAAACTGGGCCCGACAGGAACTCTGACACACCCTAAAAATGCGACATGTTGTCGGGTTCGGAAGAGACAACATTACGGACTTTGATGAAGGTCGGCTCGGCTTCTTGGGTCGTACCCTATCCGCCTACCTAAATGATTTTGGGTCAATTTCCTTATTTCGTGTGGGTGTCAATTCAACTCTCCTCTCGATTATGACACGTGGCAGGCCAAAATTCGTATCCAAATACATAATAAATATTAAAAATAATATAACATACAAATTTTGAATATTTAACTTTAAAAAATAATTTCCATATAAAACTTTCTATTAACTTTCTTTTATTCTACGAGATCGAAAATGAAAAAATGAGAAACAAAAAACAAACCAAATGGACTCTAAACATAGTAGGGCCTGAAACACAAGCTCATGAGGTAGTTATCTCTTTGCCATGTTTAGAGAAAAACGTGACACATGAAATCAAGCCGACTAGTTGGACAATGGAAGCTGTATAGTTTCTGTAAGAAGAAAGAAAAAAGGTTGTCCATTGTCCGACGTGGCAACAAAAGAAATTCTGGAGTTGGTCAACATATTCTCACTTGGAGTAATTCAAATATGAAATGTAAAACGTTGAGTAACTGTTTCACCTTCCACGCTTACACCAAAATCGTCACACATTGACGCAATTTTATGCAGAATTTGAATTCTCTATACTTGTCTGCTGCAACAATTTTCCAGCCTAACTTTCAAACCATTTGTTCATCTTTCATATTTCGTTATTGACTGATGACTAATTAACTAATTCTATCCCCAAATCCCACCTTTTTCTACAAACACTGTACTACTACTTAACCCGGCCTCTTTTCTTTTTTTGTTCCTTTGGGTGTTCAATTATAAGTTAGGATTCAGTCTATTTAGCCTTCAACTTTAAAAGATTTTAATAGATATATCTATCAACTAGCTCTTAAAAGATTCTAATCGACTCTTAATCTTTCAATTTTATATCTAATACGTTGCTACTGTTAACCCCGTTAGTTTAAGTTTATGCCCCTACATAATTCTTATACAAAATTAATTTTTTTAATTATAGAAACTAAATAAACACAAGTTTAACATTCGAGGGGTTAGGGTTAATTGAGAGGGAATGCGTTCAAATCCTATAATGGACCTACCTAAAGGAATTAGTAATTTGTATGTGCTTTGTGACACCAAATATTGCAGGATCAGGTGGTTGTCTCGTTGAGATTAGTTGATGTGCACACAAGCTAACCCGAACACTAAAAAAAACAACTTATAATGCAAACTACAATTTCTATATTTCACGTACGTAATTCTCTTTCTTCCTTGGAAGACTATAAATAAGACCACAACTTTTCGGCAAACTCCATAAAAATTGTAACAACCCTTTTACGTACAGCCAACGAGCCTTGGAGAAGTGAGTTATGGCGTTGAAAGGATTATCATTCTTCACTTTCACTCTTCTCCTTCTTACCATCTTCCCTTTAATGTCATCTTCTCGGCCAAACCCTGCGCATTCCCATAGAAAAATGCAATCGCAATTTGTGTTTCCGGATCACCTTCATGGATCCCAAAAGGGTGACAAACTGGAAGGTATCCACCAGCTGAAGAAATACCTTCAACAGTTTGGCTACTTGAACAATGTTCAAATTCATTCCGAAACTAATGAAGATGAGTTTGACGAGTTCTTGGAGTTTGCCATTAAAACTTATCAGAAGAATTACAATCTCAAGGTCACGGGGACTTTGGACGCCATGACGCTGGCTCAAATGTCGAAGCCTCGATGCGGGGTTGCGGATATCATCGATGGCAAGACTTGGATGAGATCAGGCAAGAAAAGAAATGAAGGAGATGGAAGTAGCCATTTCCATACAGTTTCTCACTTTGCTTTCTTTGAAGGAAACCCCAAGTGGCCAACTACAAAATCCCACCTCACTTATGGTAAATTTACTTTTTTATTCATATATTAATTAGCCTGATTAAGTGAAACAAGTATTTATCAAAATTAATTAATTAAGGAGAGGAAACGAAGTTAAAAGGTAGTTTGGACACAAAAATCTCATACCACTGCCCAAAGGTTCAAGGTAGTTTCTCGCTTCACTTGTGGACTTAGAAATTAAGTACTAGAACCAAACAGATAATAATCAATATTATTTGAAAGAGTAAAATGACACTAAACAATAGTGTGAAAAAAACAAAATAAGTATCTATCAATATTAGTAACGAAGAAATTAAAACAAATTCAACCTTGATTCAATTGAAATAATTCTCATACATCTTTTTCAAAGACAAAAACTATATAAATCTTATACAACAATATCACATATACCTGCTGTCCATTTAGGAAAGGATTTGACGGCAGGGGTGGCTGTCAATTAAGGAGGTAATTGACAACAATTAGAACTTGATTTTAGGATAAAGAAAGGTAAGATAAACCAACGGTAATAATCCCTTTATGGCCTAAATTATGAAAGATACAAATGCCATAAATAAAAGGATTTACCAATTAATACAAATGCTCCAAAGGTGGCTAGAATTATGAGTTTAGTAACGGTCTAGTTGGTGTATGTTTGTTGCTCATTTGGCATTGATTTGCTGTCTGCATTTATAGAAATGATATGATTGATTGAATCGGTTGAAACATATAAGACCTCAACTACCATGAAATTTGAAAATTTAAATTGATGGATTACAGTAAATATAATCTTTTATTTACAGGATTCATCTCTGGAACTCCGTTGGAAGCGATAACTCCTGTGGGTAGAGCTTTTTCTACATGGGCTGCAAACTCTCACTTCACCTTCTCGCAAGTTTCCGGCAACCAAACTGCTGACATCAACATAAGTTTCCAAAGGGGTGACCATGGAGACGGTTTTCCTTTCGACGGCGTTGGAGGAGTGGTAGCCCATGCTTTTTCGCCCTCTGATGGCAGGTTTCATTTGGACGCCGATGAGTCTTGGGCGGCCGGAGTGGCTTCCGGTTCTTTCGATTTGGAAACGGTGGCGCTGCACGAGATCGGACACCTCCTCGGCCTCCAACACAGCTCCATTGAAGGGGCTATCATGTGGCCATCCGTTCCCGAAGGAGCTGCCAAGGGTTTGCATGCCGACGATATCGCAGGCATTAAGGCTTTATATAATAGTTCACTTTAAATTGGAAATATATGAACTTCATTCATTATTTTTCCAATTTTTTTCATGTCTGATGTTAGTAACTTAAATCAATGTATTAGTTGGAAGACTAAGTTTCCATTCAAAATACACTGAGTATGGTTTTAAAGAAAAGAGACTTCTAATCTAACAGTTAATTCTTCCAACACCAACCCTCTAAAAAAGGAAGAAAAATTAGAAAATTCAAATTTCCAATTCGACCGTTGAATATGGAAAATGAGAAAGCCGCAGAAAATGACAGCTCAAAAGGAAAGAAAAAATAATTAAAAAAAAAAAGAGAAAGAAAGAAATACGCTCTAGAAAACTAAGTAAACGACTACTAATATAAACAAATAGGTTAAGAGAGTGAAAGGAGAGAGCCAGGCCAATTATAGGAGGCTGTGGAAGAAAATAATTAGTCGTACGGGCTCATGCCAACGATACTTGAGTACTTATTAGCTAGCACCCATCCTTTATTGATAGTCGATAAAATTTTTATTAGTAGGAGAGAGAGATAGATATTTGATCGATAAATAGCTAAGTATTATTCATTTGCATAGCTCTAATAGACTCGATTATCTCATATGTATCACTACAAGAAAATCGAGTATTTTCGAAGGTGACAAACCTTTGAAAAAGTACAAAATAAACCTTCGATAAATATTTCTTCGAATGTTCACTCGACTTTCAAAAAATGTCGAAATAGGTCCCGTCGAAAAAGGTTTTTCAAAGATTTTGTTAACTTTCAAAAATTCATATTTTTCAAAAGTTATAAATCTTCGATAATTGTTAAATTAGTTGTCGAGAATTAGTTGGTTTCAAACACTTTTTGAAAAGTTTTTATTATTTTCCAAGGATCATATTCTTATTCTCAACAATTTTAAACCTTCAGAAAAAGTAATTTATCTTTGAAAGGTTTATGAAAATTGTTAAATTGTTAAAGGAAGAATCCAAATATTTGAGAGTAATAATGAAACAATAAGGACGTTGGAAATAATTTCAGGAGAGGTCACTTTTTCATTACTACACTCTTTTTTCCTTTTTTTAAGTACAACATTTGGAGGTGGGTTCTTCACAGCCTCTACCAATTACCGTTGTGTTATGCTTATTTTGACCATTACTATACTCTTCTAAAGAAAAATATTTAAGTCCTTACTCGAGAGCATCTATCTCTAGAGAAAATTCCTAGAACTACGACGTAGTACCTACTTCTTCCATTTAGATTTTGACACATCAACAAGTAATATATAACAAGATCCACACTATTATGAAAATGCTACCTTAATGCTGGCCAACAAAAAACGGAGGTTTTTCATATTACCGTAGTATCATAATTTTTTTCCCTATTTTTACTCTAACCACTATTGAAAAATTGAGTATTTATTATTTTAAAAAAAAATTCTATTATTGTATTTCTCTTCTATTGTCAAACATTTGTCTCAAGTATTTTACCAAATTTATCTCAAGTAGTAGTCAAAAAAGAAAGAAAAAAGAAAATTGGGCCAAGAAGCAAGAGTAGATTTGTAGGGAGTCCATGCCCTATAAAAGTGGGGCAATGGAACGAAAAATTAAGAATATTTATGAAATTTGTTGATAATTATCTAAAACACCCATCTTTTTCTGAGGGTTTTTTATAATCTTTGAGAAAATGCATGATTTTCAACGACTTTTTAAAAACCTTCCATAAAATTTCATATATTTTTGAAAGGTTTAAAATATTTATCGATAAATAATGTTTTTAATAACCTTTATAAAATAGTGAATAATTTTCAAACGTCTTCAAAATACCTTCAATAAAGATTAACATGTTTCAACGGTTTTTAATAACCTTTGGAACAATTACATAATTTTCGAAGGTTTTCTGTAAACCTCCGATAAAATATCATATATTTTTCAAAGGCTTCGATGAATGTACTGTTTTTCAAAGGATTTTAATAACCTTCGATAAAAGGTGGTCGGAACAGTCTCATCTTCTTGTAATGTATGTTCCCCACATATATAATTTAAGGATTAAATTTGATAATTTAGAAAAGCGTTTAATAATTTAACAGCTAATTAAAAATTAAGATATATGTACTAAAACAAAATAGTTGATAAATTTTATTTGATCCTACAACGTGAATGTCATAAGATGTTAAAACAAAATTCATTTAGCAAATGTTTACTTCAAGAGAATGAGAATTAAGGATGATCTCGGAAATTATGGCACAAACACCCAATCCTTTTTGTGTTACAACAATGGTGGAATTAGTTAATTATTTTCAAACATTTTTTTTTCCTTCTATAATAAATTAAACTAGTGAAACCACATTTGAATTTTATTAATTCCTTTTTAAAAATATTGTCTATATTCTTCACGGATGACTTGTTTTTAGACCAAAAAAAGAAAAAAAAAGTTATTGTTGTTCTCTTCTAAAATTACATATTTCGAATATAAATTTCAATGCTGAAAATAATAACAACTTTTAAGAAAATCATATAGTTGTAGATCAAAGAATAATAGAAATTTTTTGACAACATTTTCAAACCAAACAGTTTTTTTCAAAGCTTTCCTTCAAGTTTGAAGGAAAGGTGTGAAAAGACGAAGGACACGTAGGTCCAACATTCTAGAAGTTTTTGTAATGGCATTCTTCACATGTCTCTGTCAACTTCGTAATGTCTCACAATGACCCACTTTTGACATCTGCTTTTTTATCCCCAAATTTAAATTCTTATTAGTTCTGAAAATGCTGGGTGACTCGTATGTTCGTTAAGAAACTTTTTTAGAAGGTTATCATCAGGCTTAATTTTAGAGTCTCATGATTCAGTTGTTGAAAAAGAATGTACCGTGGTATAGATACTTACTAGACAATTTTGTTTTAAGCATTTTTTAATTTTAAGATCCCGTTTATTCGAATGTGGTATCTATTCACGTCCATTTATATATCCCTCCTCTATACTCGAACATCATATCACAGTTCCAATATAGCCTCCAATAATATTAATTTTTCGTTAACCTATTAGATGATGATGTGAATTATTTTAGTCTTTGTTTGGGGAAGAGAATACCCTGGACACGTGGAGGACCCCTATTGGTGCTCCAAGATGACTCATGAGTCATGCCTAGCTCGGACGGCCGAGACCACCACCACTAGCGTTGACAGATGCTAAGTATGAGGGCCGAGGTGAACCTGGCCGAGGCCCAACGTACCGGGAAGCTCGGTGGGGGCCGATGTGAGCTACTGTCAGCGGCGTGATTATCGGGTGTAATCGTCGGTCCCGAGATTACCGGGTGTAACCGACGGTCCCGAGATTACCGGGTGCAACTATCGCGAGATTAACGGGACTACCACCCATAAGTAGAGGACCTCACTCCGCGATCAGGTATGATGATTTCTGACCTCGAACTAAACTGGGAATTCGACCTATACTGACTTGATCGTCGGAGTGCTCACCTTTTTGTGCAGGTCCGCCCAAGTATTCAAATCGGTCCGGAGGCCGAGTTCGAGCTGCAATCTGAAGAACACTGTTGTGCATATCCTTGCATAAACATTTGGCGCCGTCTGTGGGGAAGACAATCTAAGTCATCCCAATTCTTTTAAACCAACACGCGAGCGAACATGGTTCAACCAGCAAACTCGACCAATACGACAGATCGAAGGACTCTA